TGTTAAAACTCAATCTCTGAAATATTTTGGGAGTTCTTCCATTCTGAAAATAAAGTGCACTCTGCCATTGTTGGATGGAGGTGTCTATAAATATCAATTAGTACATTGTGGACGATACTGCAGCTCAATGCTTCTACATCATTGCTGACTTTTCTCAAATCACACTGAACAGTGCATTTTAAACCTGCCTGTTTAGCTGCATACAGATGCTGGGCTGTTGTGTCTTCCCAGTGTGCTGCACTCTCAGTGTTGCTGGAGAGGCAGTCACGCATGTTGACCCTCACTGGAACATTTTCTTCTGGCAGATTCAGGGCCTCAGAGCAGGGCTGAGGTTACTGCCTTTCATGTCGTTTTACCTGTGTGGGGCTGGCAGAGAACTACTTTGTTCTGCACATGCCAGAGATCCTCAGGCACACACTCCACTCCTTGGAGGAGCCTGGAGAGGTCCTTCCACTGCAGAACCAAGTCAGGTGTGTGCGACTGAGTTGCTCGAGTCCACTGGCCCTGAGGAACCAAGGCAATGACAAGATGTGAATCCCATGTGTGCTCTGTGATCAAAAAATGTGGTCTTCAACAAGAGCACCAAGAGGATGGGGGGGAGGGAGAGGGAGGGAGAGAGAGAGAGGGAGAGAGAGGGAGAGAGAGGGAGGACCCTTTCTTCAATAGAAGGTGTTGAGACAACTAGATTTCTACATGCAAGAGAATGGAATTGGGCACAACCTTACACCGTGCACAAAAATAAAATGAAAATGGTAAACGATCTAAATATAGGAGTCAAGGCCATGAAACGCCTAGAAAAAAAATCATAGGGAGAAAGGTTCTTGGATTTGGTAATGATTTTTTGAATATCACATTAATAGCTCAGGAAAAAGAGAGCAAAAATAAATAAATGAGATTATATTCACTTAAAAGCTTCTATACAGCAAAGGATACAGTCCACAAAATGAAAAGCCAACCTACATATTGAGAATGGTATTTGCAAACATCTATATGATAAGGGTTAATATACAAAATATACAGTACATACCTCATATAACTCAATAGCCAAAACCGAATAGCCCCACTAAAACGGCTGTTCTGGAGACAGACTGCCTGAGTGCAAATCACAAACCCACAACTTACTGCTGCTTGACCTCGTGGCAACGATTCAAGTGTGGTGATTTTTAGTTTCTTCATTTGAAAATGAGGAAACCATTAAGAGTCTGCCCTCTTCGATCATGGAGAAAACTGAGTTTCCGTGGTGAGAGAGTAACATTAATACCCGCACGATGAATGGCATTTACTGTTTCCTACATTTATCTCAGCTTATCTGACAGATCTCTGTGTGCTGTCTTAACCCCTGACCTGTGGATACTCAACCATCTTTATACTGCCTCTTACCCTGGCAGGGTCTGGCTGTGTTCAGCGAGACCTGGGCTTCCTGGACGGGACTTCCTCTCTCAGGTACCGACTCCGTATGCCAAACGGGCTTCTTAGTCTAAAGGTCCTGGAATGGGAAATGGACTGAAGCCACCGAGCTGTGTCCCAGCCCAGGCCTACATAGGAGGACACATCCCATCCTTGGACTTCTAATAATGCCCGCCTCGGGAAACTTCTCTGGGAACGAGTGGCTGAAATACGCCATCCAGCAGAGTGGAGAGTCACGGAAGCCATGTACTAGTAAGAGCGCCTTTCTCTTCATGCTTTCTCGCTGGCCTCACTTTCCTCTGGTCCAAACTTTCGGAGAATGACTGATGACCGGAAGCCCCACGAGGTGCACACTGCTTATGCCCCTCCCTCCAATCTGGTTGTCTCAGAGGCTGTGACCCTCTGCCTTCTCAGGACATGACTAAGGAAGCACCAAGGGGGATTGTGGGAAGGAAGGTGGCAGCTGGAAGGAAACGTGAGTGGGAGGGAGAAGGTTCTGGAAAAGAAAGGAAGATGTTGGCGGGCACTGGCTAAGTTCTCAGCATTCCTTCCTGGTGATGGCTCATTTTTTTATGATAGCAATATAGTAAGGCTTCAAACACTAAATAACTCAGAGTTTAGATGGGATATCAGGAGAGTTTGACAGATAAGATAGTACCTAGAAAAAAAACCCTCTCAACTCAGAGAAAGGGTAGAGGGAGAGGGAGAGGGAGGAAGAGGGAGGGAGAGAGGAGAGACTGATGAAATCAAGGCCCAGTTCAGAAAGGCAGACTCCCTCTTTCACTTACCCACACAAGGCTAGATTTGTTTTATTTCTCCTACTTCAAGTCCCTGCCCCACAGCTGTGTAAGTTGCTGGGATAGATCGGTAGAGTAACCTCCCCCGGGAGAATGATGGCGGAGACCCTGGCTTCCAGGTCAGCCTTCCTCCCAGGTGGTGACACCGCCACTGTGTCTGTGAAAGGACTCACTTGGCAGTGCTCCTTGGCTTTATGCCCCATGGCTCAGGGGTTCCAGATGTGGGGGCAATATCTGTATTTGTTGGCTCTGGCCGTGAGGCTTCTATAGCTGCTGATGCTTTCCAGTGAGGAATAGAGGTTGTTCCTGGCGAGACGGAGCGAGGAGGAGAGGCAGAGGTGATAAGACTCATGCTGAGGACCCCAGGACAGCTCCTTCTCACCCCGGCATCTCAGGCATGTCTGGCTGCTGTGACCCTGCCTGCCTGCTCCCCTTCAGAGTGCTGTCCCCGCTCTGCCTGGCTAGAGACTCAGCAAGCTCACTGCTGTATAGGCCCAGTCCGGGGACAGTCAGGTGTCTCCTCCTGCCCATGTCCCTGCCCTGGCAAAATTAAATTTGTGCCTCAGAATGACGTTCTGGTCTCTGAAGTACACTGCAGACCCTGGGGCACGACCAAACGCAACTGTTCCTCTGCACATCCTCAAGGCTCAGCAGGGGATCTTGCAATTACACGGTGGGAGCATAAATGGAGGGAAGCCAGGGCTAGCAAGGGCAGTGTGCACATGGCCAGGAGGAACCAGGCCTGGGCACAGATCCATGTCGTTGGCAGGGAGGAGAGAAGCCCAGAACTAGGGGCTGGAAAGTGCTCAGAGCTGACAGGAGGCCATACCAAGTTGTAAGAAAGTGACTCATGCCATTGCCAGAGAAGGGGTACTCGTGTAATACCAAAGTCAACACCAGGGGGACCGACTGCACAGTGCAGTCGCACAACAGCTTCTGCTGGGATTAAAGGGCTGTGACGCAGATCACTAAAAGCATCAGAGCATTGCAGCCACGCATTCCTCTGATACATAAGACGTCCAGCTCGGAGTCTCCTCGTGTAATGAGCTCTCCAAGCTGGGAATCTTCATGACATCTTCCCGTTCCCCTTGTGCCAACACTCAACCGACAATGAAGGTCGGTACTGTTCTCTGTCTGAGAAATGTTCCTTAAAGCTGGCAGCTCTTGCCAGGTGCACCGGGGGCCCCATCCTTTCTCACTGAGATGATTTCGAAGGCACTTGTCCAGCTTGACCCCTTTCCGATGAGCCCGGTGCACACATTTCTGTCAGGTTCCTCTTCCTAAAACACTCATCACATTGCAAAACTCTGCAGCTCCTGACAAGTAAACTCAGTCGTCTGCAGGATGAAGCCCCAGTGCCTCGTGTGGCATGAGGGACTTCCACCATCTTCCCTGAGTCCTCGCCTCCGTCCTTACCACGCTCATGCCGGCCTCTGTCCTCAGCTCAGGGTTCCCAGGACTCCTGAATGCCTTGCGTTCTCCACGCCTGTGAGCACACCGTGTCCTCTCCCGGGGTACTGTGCGTCCCTTCCTCTGTGACACAGCTTGGAACGGGGCTTTCCCTCCTCACAAGGCAGGGCTGGCCATTCCTCAGCGGGTTCCCTGCACGTTCCCTCCCGCCTCCGTTACGCCAGTATTTGCTGAGCCCCGAGACAGAGGCAAGTCTGGGACAGTTTTGTTGTTTTAGACAGTTTTGGACAGTTTAGGAAGTCTGCTCCCCGTGGGCTGAAGGCAACTCGAGGGAGGCCTACATCTTGATATGTTTCTAGTCTTCATTTCTAGCTCAGAGATGGATGGGTAAGTAGCCAATGCTCAGAACATATTAATAAAATTAACAAATAACTTAATAACTTAAAATGTATGATTGGATGCCCATGAAAAGCATCCAGCTTTACCAACCAGAGTCAGCTCAGGGTCCCAATGGTGTCTACCAATTCCTAGCCCAATATTTCCAGCCAAGGCAACACCCGTTCTTTAGACTCTAGCTTGAGTGCTACCTTCCAGGCTTCGTCCGGGATGCGTCCACCTGAGCTTTTGCCTACGACAGCTTTGCTGTCCAGGAGCGCCTGTCACTTCTGCCTTTTACAAGAAGCCACACCCAGTTTAGAAACCCAAGGCCTGCCAAGGGCCAGGCATGACTCTAGACCCTGGACATCCAGAGTTGGACAAATAGATGAGGTCACTGTCCCTGGAAGTGTACACCTCAAGGGTCAAGACAGAGGCTCACTATATAAGCAAAAGGAGAGCTGCCTGGCTTCAGTGGCAGTGAAGCTGGGGAATGTAACAGCCCACCACAGCATTCTCATCTGCAGCAGGCAGACTTCAGTTTCACAGAAGGAGAAGTTACTCAGCTATGGTAACCCAGAAGCCCCACTGGGGGTCATGGCACATGCCTGTGATCCCAGCACTTGAGAGGCTGAGGCAGGAGGATCACCTCAAGTTCAAGGTAAACCTGAGCTACCAGGCCAGCCTGAACTACACAGTGAGACCCTGTCTCAAAAAAAAAAAAAAAAATCAAAAGATCACCTGGAAGACTGAAGAAACAGGCTCTAGTCAAGCTTCCAGGGATATGTCCTGGAGCCACATTAAAGTCTGCCTAATGAGTGACCTCCTGCTGCCAACTCCAGAATCACGGTGTGAGGACGGTGTCCCCAAAGCTGACTCCCACTGCCCCGGCCCAGGAGAAGGGTGCACAAGCAACGTACAGGGAGCGGTGATATGCAGGCGCCACTGGAAGATCCGGCACTACAGCAAGGAGGCACAGGCACTGGAATGTGATTACTTTTTATGGTGTTTTGTTTCACTTTTCCTATTCAACTTTTCCCTTCCCCACTTCCTTCAATATCAGCAGATTCAGATTTTTTTTTCACAAGGAATGTAAGCTTTCAGTGACTTTCTGCATTAGAACAGAAGCTTTCAGCTTCAGATTCTTTAGGACAGGTCACTTACTACAAGTCCAAAGCAAGAACTGAACACGCAAAGGGACAGGCAGGCCACATCCTGAAGCCAGAAGGAAATCACATGGAAATCCAGGGGATCCCTGCCCTTCCACACGAAAAGGTGTGTAAAGGTGGATTTTGTGCCTAGGCGGTAACTCAGTAGTTCATTGAGCCATCATGTACGCGGTGGTCCTGAGACAGAAGTTTCCATTTCCTCCATCAACTTTCAGGCGATGCCGTTGGCACCGCCTCTGCATCACTTGCCGTACTGGGCTGGACCGCGATGCAGAATGCCCAGCCCACTGTCCAGCCGGAAACGCGTTTGACACAGCTCCTCTCTCAGAGCCCACTTCTGCTTCCCCTGGGAAGCCAACTCTTGGGGAATCTTCTTCAAGTCTCGTCTTCCTTCCTCCTGAGGCTTCAGAATCTCCAAAATCGGCCTCTGAGAGAGACAGAATAGAGGGAAGTGAGCAACCTCCGTGGACAGGCTTTCGGAACAGGCGGATCCAAGGCTTCCTGGGCCTCTAGTCTGGGGGAACCCACTTGACAGGACCCCTGCGAATGATACCAGTGGAGGGCCTGTGGTTCTGTAGGCCCCAAAGAAAGAACTGAGCAAGACACAAGGAAGGCAGCTAAAGTATGCAGTTATTGAAAGCAGAAGAGAAAGCTCGCAGGATAAGGCAAAGAGGTCTTTGCATGCAGAATTCCCAGGTCACCTCTTCTTCATGTAAACAAACCTCTGGCACAGTTGTCCTCTCAAACACTCTCTTGGGATCTCATCCCCACATAACTGTCCATCAAAAACCTTGCTGTGCTTCCTGCTGCATGTAAACGATGACTCAGAAATGGGGTCCCTTCACTGGCTGTGCTTAGATGCAGATAAAGGATTGAAAAGAGCATCTTCTGATTGGTCCTGTGAAAAGCAGCAGATTTAAATAGCCAATTTCTGGTTGGCGCAAAATAGTACTTTTCTGACTGGTTCTGCGCGCAGGGATGATGGTGGGCCATACTGGGAGTGTCCCTTCCCGTTGCCCTTTCTAGTTATGGACCCGCCTCTGCCCCAGGGGATGTCCCCCCACATGGTTACCCATCTCCCACCCGCTCCAGCTTCCTGCAGGTGAGGAGAAGGACACAGGCAGGACAAGCTCAGCCCTGGCTCACTCCCCACGTGCCCATGGCCTGTTGGCTATGCCCATGCTTTAGCAAATGCTTTAGCCGAGCCAGTCGCCTTCCGCTCTGGTCTTGCCTTAGTACAGGCTGGAGGTCCTCGGGCACCAGTCCCAGGCCTGCATGGCCCGCTGTGGTGACCCCGGCAGGACCCTGGATGCACTGCCCTGCAGCAGGGCCTCGGCCTCCCATCTCAGCAGCAAGCCTCTCACCATCCTGGTGCACCTGTCTACATGCAGGTGATCCAGAAAAAAGGACGCGAGAGCAAAAGTCTTGTACATGGAGCCCAGGGAAATGCGAGCTGTGAAGAATTTACAACCTCATGGCATAGTGGGAAACCTTCCTTCATCTTCTCTCCCAGGATGAGAGGATATGTCTGTCCCTTCGCTGTGCAGGTGGCTGGGCTGGCTTTCAGCAAACTGAGCTCTGCAGATGCTGGCTTCCCCAGCTACCCTGAGGTAAGTGACAGGTACACAGCAGGAACGTGACCTTCATGGCCGTCACTGAGCTTTCCCGTGATGGCCTGGGGAAGTCTTGAGTGTCCCTGTGAACGAGTAACAGTGACAGTCTCCCTGGTGAAACCCACAGCAAGGGACCGTGGTCTTCCAGCTGCCACTCAACCTTGTTCCTGTGGCTCCCCCACCTCAGCCCCTGGAGTGACCCCCATGTGGACAGCAGTTGGAGAGGCACGGGACCCAGGGGATGCTCCCCAGATGGGGTCCTCCGTGGATCCTTTCAAATGGAGCAGCAGACGGGAGAGCATGTGTGGTGGTGAGGCCACTTCTCCCAAACTCCACTCTCTCCTCTCTTCTGTTGAGCTCACAAAGCACACTTCCAGACTAGGTTTCCTTTGACCCTAAACTGACAGACATGTGCTTTCTGGACAGCTTACAGGGGTGGTTGGCCGTCTTGACCCTGGCTCTGCATCCCGGCTCCCTGGGGAGTTTTTCAGACTCCCCAAGTTCTTGCCGTGTGCCAGCCACTTCACATGGAAGTTTGTGAGGCTGGGACCCTGTGTCCTCCACAAGTTCTGGATCGGGAGTCTGTTGCTTTCCCTTCCATCCTTCCTCTCCTGTGGCCCCATGCAGGCCTCTCATGTGGCCTCTCTGTCCCTCTAGCTGCAGAAGCCCTCAGTCCCTGGAAGCCAGGGTGGCAAGGTGACATCTAGTGGTACGAAAGCAAAGCTGCTTTTCTGCAGTCCTCAGAATCCCTATCAAAATCCCTGGGGAACCCGGCCTGTGGGCAGAACCTGGTGTGTGTGACTCCTGGACACTCCCCACAGCTGATGACAGCCGGGATGATTACGGGGACAGAGGAGGCCATGTGCTCCTGAGCGCAGCCTCAGCCTTTGGCGTCCAGCTGCCAGGGACCTGCTGTGGGGCAGTCCTGGGGCCTTGTCACCAGGGACGCTGACTCATAGCACCTGACAGCAAGCCTGGCACCCACACGGGGCAAGCTTCATCCCCTGTGGCCCTGAGAAACACTGGGCACACACAGAGAGATACACACAGACACCACACCACACACACACACACACACACACACACACACCACACAACACACGCACAACTACCAACCTGGCCCAGCCTCCAGCCCCAGTGGACACGTGGGTGTGCTGATTCCCACCGGGGCTCCCCCCATGGACACCCCTGCTACTCCCGAGAACGTGGTGGGAGGGTGTCCAGGGAGGGCCCTGTGTTCCCTTGCTCTGGCGGCTGTGATGTAGGAGGTGACCCGGGCTGTGACGTGCAACTGCAGCCGGGACCTCACAGTGGGAGTTCACTGCGTGGCAGTGGAGCTGTGGCAGGATGGCTTCTTGGAGCCCGTGTCCTGGGCTGGGAGGTGGCTTCTTCTGTGGTCCCCATGTGTCTGGCCTCACTGCTTCTCCACATGCTGGGGCACTGCCGGATGCCCCCTGCCTCCGCACCCCTGTTAAGATACAGTACACCTAGCCACATCCGAGCACGGGCCGCTAAGACTTAGCCGTCGGCGCCGGGAGCCGGGGACGCAACTCCACCCGTGACAGGCATGCTTAGCCCATTCAAGACCTGAGGTCCCCTGTGCTTCCTCTCCCTGTCCCCGACTTGGAGCCGGAGGTTTCAGGCAGGCTCTGTGCGCAGACTCGGGGACCAGAGCCCCCCTGGCCCTCATGGAGCCCGGACTGCTCAGCGATGCTCTCCGCTCCTACGCCACCCCAACCCCTGGAGCTCAGTGCTGCTCCTTCCTGGAGCAGTGTGGGGCAGAGTCCCTTCTGGTTCTGCTTCCTAGTGAGCTTGGTCTCTCATGTGCTTTTCTTCGTTTTCTCCACCGTCAGAAACTTCTCGGGCGCTGCAGTTTTAGACCAGGTCCACAAAGCCAGTGCTGAGTGCCTGTGTCTCAGGTGCAGCAAAGACCGGACTCAACGTGACTGGAAATGATTTTCACAGGCTCACAAATACATTTTTTAAAAACTAAAGTTATAATAATTGTGAGAAGGACAGACACGCGACACTTAGCAGCAAGTACTTAATCCAGATTTGGACAGATCCATTGTCTCCGCCTGTTTTGAGCTGGACAGCTCATGAGGAGGGTTATCTGGCTGGTGATTCGGTGGCTGCAGTGTCTGCACAGCCTGGCGCCCGCTCTCTGCCGAGGGCCCCCGGCAGTGTCACAGCCCAACAGAGAAGCAGGAAGGGAGGTGGCTGTGTGCAGCCGGGGCCAAGTGTGTGGGCGAGCGTGCTCACTCCTCGGCTCAGCTTTGACTCCTCCAAGGCGGCGCCCACAGGACCCGGCTACCGTCCACGCCTGCCTTGCACAGGGGCCACCCCGGAAGGGCCCCTCCCGACCCAGGACACACCCGAGCCACGCAGCCACGGATTCGAAAGCAGCTTCCCAGAAGGAAGGTGAGAGGGAGACAAGCGAAGAGAGGGAGGAAAGCAAAGCGTTTCCGGAAGGGATCCAAACACGTGGGAGTCACGGCAGCTCGGCCGGGGGCGGAACAGCGGTCGGTGTGGTAGAGAGGGAGGGCGGCGTCCAAAGCTGTGAGGAGCAGGGCCGCGAGGAGGGCTGTGCAGGCCTCCTGTGCAGGGAGGAGCGTGAGGTCCTCGTAACAGAGGGCGGCGAGCGGTCAGATCTCCAGCCGCAAGGGGTGACGGCAGGTTCCATGACTGAGCGAGTGACTCAGACGCGGAACACGGATCGGAGAGAGCTAAGTGGAGACAGGCAGCACTTGCTAAAATCTGTAATAACCAGGGCCGTGCGCTGTAACGGAACACCCCGGACTGGTGACGTGTAAAGACCAGAGGTGCACTTCTCACGGTCCCGGAGGCTGGAAGTCCGAGGTCTAGGTCTGGGGTTTGGCCCCCCGCAGCACGGTGGAGGACGGAGGTGCATAGGGGTCCTCACGGCGGAAGGGCAGGAGATGAAGCCGGGTGGGAAACTCTGTCCAAGCCGTGCTCACCCCACTCAGGGAGAGAATCCCACCCCCAAACACCTCCCAGCGGGGCCGCTGCTCTGGGGATAACGTGAACTTTGGGGGCCCGGCACAGCCAAAGCCTGTGGACACCAGGACAGGATGAACAGACCGACCAACGCGCAGACTCGAGGGAAGGACGAGAGCCACCCCTGGATGGAGACAGCGCCAGAAAGCACGGCAGGGACGCAGCACGTTCCGGAGAGGCCCTGAGACAGCTGCGTGCCTGTGGGGAAAAAATAAAAGCGACTCTTTCTTCCCCTTGGGCAAATACCAGTTCTGGTTGGATTAAATGTGTAAATGTTAGAAACAACATAAAAGCATACTTTCATGACTTGAAGCTATGGAAAGGTGTCTAAACGTAGCACGCACACAGACCGAGTCATCCAGTCTCTCCCACATGACGTCTGAAGTTTCTACTCACGAAGACACCTGGAAAAGTGGAAAGACAAACGACAAACTAGTATAAAATGTTCTCATTGTGTAAAAAATAAAGATCAATATCCAATATTCATAAGAGCAATCGCAATAAAAAAGGAGAAAGCAAGCGTCCCCACGGAAAAGCAGGCTGGAACACTAGCAGCCTCTGCACAAGGAAGAGATGTGCAACAAACACGGGCTGGAGCTGTCTCAACTCAGGTCCCCGAGCAGGCCACAGAACGAGGCCTTTGGGGCAAGTAATTCATTTTGAAATTTAGTCCAAGAATACAAGAAAGTGGGGACACAAGAAGGGCAAAGAAAAAGCAAAACCAAACAAGAACTAATGCTCAGCTCACCATGCCGGGCAGCAGGGATCCTCCCCAGCCCCTCATGAACTCTGACGTGCTGTGGGGAGCACATGTAAGGATGTCAGAACAGGGGCCACTCTCTACTGTGTGCCCCGGGAGCACAGGGAACAGCTGGGCAGGTGGCCACAGCCAGAGGCCCCTGTGCTGGGACGGGAGGGCCCAGAGGCACCTTCGGAGGTGGGGGACCTGGCGGTTTTGCTGTAGGAGCTCGTTCTCACTAGTGCTCAGGGAAATGCACTCAAAACAACAGAGACGATTTCACCCCTATAAGACTGGCAAAAACCCAAACCGAAACAACAGTAACAACTGATGTGATGCAGTGTCAGGGAGACTTGGAGTAATGAGAACCCCTCAGAGAAGATGGAGGTACAAATCACCCTAATGATGGACAGCAGCTACTCGGGTGTCGTGTGGGACAAGCATTCCCTGACACTCTCCACGTATGCACGACATTCATAGCACCAGGTAAAGGTGAGGATTTAGGGGCAAGCTCGACATACAGTAGCAGTAGGATGGGCAGGTAAACTGTGACGGCGTCTTAGAGCTGATGACTATGTCTAACAGGAAGGGCTGACCAGCAGCGGTTCATGGCCAGAGTGGGCGACCCGGAAACTCACTGCTCAGGTAAACCTGAATCAGGCCAGACCTAGAGCCAGAGCCTGCAGGGTAGGACAGAGAAACCAGCGTCAACAGGCCTGCTGGGTGCTGTCAGTGCACACTGAAGTTCCGGAACCACTGAACCAGGGCAACTGACAAAGGCCCTGCCAGTCCCAGGCACTGATTCTTATTGGCAATCAATTGGGATAAGGGTGAGCTACGTGCAAGGGCAGGGCTACCCGTGGTGTCTGTGGAAATCAATGTAAACAAGGCTCAGAAAGGACAAGACAAGGCGTTCTCGATTAGGAACAGAATAGACAAAATCTGTGGCTGTAATTAGAACACTGTCCTTCTAGTCAGGAGGTTTTAGACATGGGAACGGAATCTGGGTGTGAGTTACCTGACCTTGGCACAAAGGTTTCAGCCAGACTCATTCCAATAAACAGCCAATTGTGGGGTTCACTCCTCACAGCCTGCCTTGGGCATGATCGGTATTATGGTCCTCTGCATGTCTTTTATTTTCAAGAAAGTTTGACTATTAAGGGGTCCCTTGAGGTTTCACATGAATATCAAAATGGATTTTTCTATGTCTACAAAAAAGTGCCTGGAATTTTGACAAGGGTTGCTTTCAATCTATAGATTAAGTGGTATAGACATATTTTAAAAATTAACTTTCTAATCCATGAACATTGAATATCTTT